GTATGATCTGATTAGTCGACTAATCGAATAAATAATCTGTGATAAATCGATTATAAAAATAATCGTTTGTGGCAGCCCTACTGCATATAAAGGGCTCAACACACGGGGAGCGACAAACGACAGTGATTAACGGCTGTCATCACAACCAGGGTGAAACCCAACACACGGGACGTGAAAGCGATGGCACCGTTGTGAATCGCATTCTCGGGTCGCTTGTCTTCAAAAATCTGATTGGTTCTTCTACTGCCTTTTGTAAAGGTTATTGGTGGTCCGCCAAAAAAGGGTTTTGTGCATTATGGACGTGTAAACTAAACAAATCTTGCGAGGCTAATGATATTGAACAACAAACGCACGCCAAGATACAGTTTTATGAGGAAAAACTTACCGGATAACTTCACCCTAGCACCAACAAATTCCAATAAAGCTGCCTTTTTTAGTAATCACTTGGTGAAGGGTCATATAAAACTGGAAAGTCCTGACAGAGCTAAAACTAGATACCGCATAGTGGTAACACAATGACCCCCGCACGCGCAAATGCACCAGAAGTCTTTATTCCTAATAAATGTCACTCTACGAAGTGTATCCCAAAATCGTAGTGGTTTGGGTGGGGTCTTCCTTTTTTGGGGGGGCACTGATTGCTTGACCTGATGGATAGCACCTCATCAGAGCTAAACCACAAAATAAATCTGAAGCTTCTATGTTGAACAGTTTCTGAGTTATACGCATTTTTGCATGTCCTGACACCCCCGCTCTTTGAAAGGAGCCCCCTCCTCAAATATGGGGTCTATCATAAAACCATTGGCTGGAGCAGTGTAGGTCAGACTCATCTACAGTCCTGACTAATTTCATGTTGATTGGTGCAGCTGTTTTTGTGCTACGGTTGACCAAAGATCACTGAAAAAACAAAAACAAAACAAAACAAATAAAAAAAAAAACATTACGAAAACAATATGACTCCCACTTACACTTCGCGTGCGGGGGTCATAATAACATTGGCTGTGTCCAAAACGACAGGCTGGGTCCTCCGGAGGACCCAGACTACCCGGTTGCGGCGGGCCGGGTCCTTGCTAGACCGGGAAGACCGGAAAAAAAGAGGCTGTGAATTTGGACGGTCTAGCCTCCTCTCCTTACCCTGGCGTACGTCTTGTCACCTAGCAACTGTGACGACGCTAAACAAGCAAACTTAAATCAAAATTAGAAAAATATCAATACATTAGCATCATTAATATCACAAAACTATAAAATTAACTTAAA